TTCATGTCAAACTCAAGTTAAGAGTGAGCACACAAGTGTGTTGTTGTTCAAATGAGATTTTGTCATGTATTAAATGTACAATAAGAAGGATAGCAATATGATGATAAAAAAATGTCATTTGAGAGTTACTAACTGGTTCAAGACATTGATTGAAGGATTCATGAGAGTCAGCAATCATATTCTGGCTGACAAGTTCTGTTTTCCATGCTGTAATGTACTGAATATTTATATATTTTATACAGAGAAACAATCCACCGAGAAGCTACAGTAGTTTTGAATTTGTGCCCAGATGTTTCACTATATTAAATGATTTTGCTGATTGTGACTTTGAACTAATTATTTTTCATTTCTTTGTTTGTTCTTACATGGAGTTTTCCTTGGATTTATTTACATTGTTCTTACTATAGGTGCATGTAGTTAAATAATTATATAAACATACAATTATATAATTATTCATGTGCCACATTGGTTCTTCCAGGACCATGATTAGGTTCCATTGTTCCAGAATATGCCCATTTAGGTATCTAGTCATACTCTCTACTACAGATACAACATTCCTGAAATATTATTGAAGTTCTTCTGATCAACCATCATGAAAACAACTATAAAATGCTTACATGGTTGTGCAGAGATAGTGTTACTATTTTGTCTGGAAGCACAGTACATTAATATATACAGGAGGTGACTTAGGCAGTTATTTTTTATTAACAACAGTGTCACACCAAGGAATTGAATCTGCCTCTATTGTATTCATGCTACCACCTACGACATTCATAATACCATGCAATAAATGCAATGCAATGAATATCGATGGTGATTTATTTTCAGAAAAAAAGTGACAGTTTTTGCTACAAATAGCCTGGTTTAAACACATTACTAATACAATTAAGCACAAACGTAACATTAAAAAAACTTCACTCACTTGGGCCCAATGTTCTACTTTAATGCTAACTACTCAAAGTGTTAAAAATAGATATTTGATGTCAGAATGAACAGCAAGCAATGAATAACCCAAGAGAAGTACAGGTGTCATGGAGTAATAACATTACCCAGGTATCCTTGGCTGTTTTCCACTTCTGTACTTTTTTGGAAGCTGTTCAACATGTTAAAAGCTTCACTGTTGTTAGATTGTAGATTAAACACAACTTTTTTTGTCTCACATCTTAATTCAGGAATGGGCTGATGAGCTGTTTGCACTGGCATCAAACTTGCTGACACAGAACATGTCCAGAGAATCCTGCCTGGAAAAAGCGTAAGTGCTGTAAATAGAACTTGAATTTACTGTAACAGAAGCTTCTATACTTTGAGCAGCACTACAGATGCAGCCATTCAAAGTGCGCGGTACAGACACGTACCGGGTAATTGGCTAAGGTGTCGCGCATTGTGACGCACGATGACGCGCGGTACCTCGGTACATGATTGGTTGACCGACAGGGGCACTCGTGGTCCGTTGGTCTGTCGTAGAAAGAATTACAGTAAACGTCTTTACTGTGCCCGTTGTAGTATTGAATATTTATATGGAATTTTACCACTGAAGGGAAATCTTAGTAGCTGAGCATAAAA